TTTTTAATTTTATTTTATTATCGAATAATATTTTTTGCTACTATTAGATCAAAATTGGAGTATATATGATATACAATTTTGATTCATATAATTTTCGAAATTAATTACGAAAATTCAAATTTGTTTCCCCCTAAAATTAAAGGTTTAGCAAAATTGCAAATTCAAATTCATCTCAAACCAAAAAATAAATTTGATACATCCATTTTCAACGATTTATACCGTGTTACGCCGAGTAAAATACATCAGATAAATCTTTATCATTCATACATACACCAATTTTGATGTGTGTAGATTAACGATAAAAATCCAATCAATGTAACATTCATCGGGTGTAGCGTACAAAAACAAAATTGAACCTATAGACTACACTAACACTATCCATGTCAAAACCAAATTGAATAGCTAATAAAGTAACATAAAATCCATTTATGTAATTATTATTCTTTAATTCAATTAAAAGTATATTTGAATCTATTTATGCATGACAGTTAAATTGAAACAATAACATGCTTATTGGTCTGAATAAATTCTTTAATCATTTAATTAATAATTAGTAGCAACTAGCACCATATTTGCCATTCTTATTCAACTCAAGGGCCAATATTATAAAAAAATAATTAATGCTGTAATTAATCTTAGTAAGGCATTATTATCAATCTCAATCAAACCCTATGATTTGGTTATACAATTGGGAAGTGCCATAGTTAAGGGCGAAAGAAAGAGAAACACCTAAAATTCAAAAAAATCAATAAAAATAATAATTAATATAATGAAGTGATTATAATGAATTAATATTAATAAAATCCATAAGCTTTATAGATGCTTCATGAATATTGCATGGGACGGGTGTTACATAGTGCAAGGAATAATAATAATAATAATAATAATAATAATAATAATAATAATAATAATAATAATAATAATAATAATAATAATAATAATAATAATAATAATAATAATAATAATAATAATAATAATAATAATAATAATATTATTATGTTAATTTTGAAAGCAAGGAATTTATGCCTTCTAATGTGGATAAATTTTCATGATTTTTAAGTGTTGTTTGGCTAAAATTATTTTAAACAACTAATAATCTCTTGAATCTGATAGGTTATTTAAAGAAATTATATGTTGTTAGGTTTTAATTTTAAAATTAATATCTAAAATGTTTGCATAATGAGCTCATAAGCTATTTTTACTCATTAAATTTTTTTAATAAAAATGTGGAGCAAATGTATTTTCTTAAAACGATCATAATTTTTTTTCCCACAACTTATTTTTTGAATTTTTAAGATTTTGTTGATAAAAAGATCTACCAAATACTTTACAAAAGCTTATTGTATGACTAACTCTATCCATTGTGGATAAATACTATAATATTATTAATGAATTTTCTTTTGAGATTACTAAATTAGCCGCAAAGAAGATAAGTGCTACTACTGTATTACAAATAATCTCCCAAATCACAACAATTTTGCTTAGACCTGCCGTTGACCGCCTCTGTTGACTATGTGCACATTTTTATTTAAGAAAAAAATAAATACATAACGAAGATGGAAATTACAAGAAACCCATAGAATTGTTCGAAATGGAAAATCCCAAAAGACAAATGGAATGTAAAGGAATGCAATTTTACGGTCAAACTACATGGTCAAACTATATAGTCAAAACAATTAACAACATAGAATTTGAAAAAGATAAATATTATTTTGAGATCTTCTATCAATCTTTTCTTTAATTATTGAAATCTAGCTATAAAATTACTATATTCTCAAGCAATTTCATATAGAAATGTGATCTTATACACAAAATTATATTCACTAGTCCTTTTTTGTCCTTAAGAAATTAATAAAATAATTTAACCCAAATATATAAAAAATGTAAAAAACAAAAAAAAACAAAAAAGAAAAGGAAAAGGAAAAGCAAACGGCCCCATTAAGAAGAAATCTTGAAATTCACTAAACCTTAATAAATAGTGTAAATTATTAAATTACGAAAAAAATCTATCACGTTTGGAAAATTACAATCATCCATCAACTATGAATTTTCTTACACGTCCATCTTTCTAGTGTTAAATTTAGTTGAATTTTCTAGATTATGTGGAATATTCTCCGGTTTGTACATGTTTTATTTTAAAACAAGATAATCATAAGATGTGTTTCTTAGCTTTTAAATATCAGGTCGTGGTGCATCAGAAACTGTAATTTTGCAAAAAAAGAGTACAAACTAGAGAACATTCTACGGAATCTAGAATATTATGTTGAATTCGACACCATAAAAGTGTACATGTAAGAAAATTCATAGTTGAGAAGCGATTGTAATTTACCAAACAAGACTGGTTTTTTTCGTAATTTAACTTTTCATAATTTACCCTAATAAATATAAAGTCAAAAAATAGGAGAAAAAATAAAAAAACCAAATATCGAGGCAAAAAAAAATATATAGGATTAATTTTTGGAATAAAGAAATGTCACTTTTTGCTTTCCCACAAGGCGCCAGCACACCACCACCGTTGCTTCCTATATAAAAACGCCAACCCCTCTCTCTCTACTCTCTCTCTCTCTCTCTCTTCTTCCTTTCTCTCTCTTCCCCCAAAAATCAAAAAAATTCACACTCTGCAAATTTGCTCTCTGCAAACATAAAAGAAAAACAAAGGGGCGAAAGAATTTTGCAGAAGCATTTTTACACGGAGGAGAAAAATCAAGTCTTTGGATCGAACTTTCCGATGACGCAGCTGAAGCCGATACTCTCACACTTGGACCCGATCATCCCCTCCTCCACCGGAAAGTTCAAATCTCCGCCGCCGTACGCCTTCCACCGCCTCCGTTTCCACCCCCGGCTCACCCTCTGGTCCTTCCTCTTCCTCTTCTTCCTCCTCCTCTTCGTCATCTGCTCCCCTCCCGCCGCCTCCCCGGGCGGCAAGCGCCGCAGCCTCCAGACCACCGGCCACTCCCGCCTGCCCGCAAACTGGGAGGCCAAAGCCCGAAATTCGGCCCGGCCCGTCTCCAAATCGGGCCTCACCGTCCTCGTCACCGGCGCCGCGGGCTTCGTCGGGAGCCACGCCGCCCTCGCCCTCAAGAACCGCGGCGACGGCGTGGTGGGCCTCGACAACTTCAACACCTACTACGAGACGGGCCTGAAAAAAGCCCGCAAAACCCTCCTCGACCGCCAGGGCGTCTACATCATCGACGCCGATATAAACGACGCCGTTCTGCTGGGCAAGCTCTTCGAGATCGTCCGGTTCAGCCACGTCATGCACCTCGCCGCGCAGGCCGGAGTCCGGTACGCAATGCAAAACCCTAGCTCCTACATCCACAGCAATGTCAACGGCTTCGTCACCTTACTCGAAGCCTGCAAGAACTCGAACCCTCAGCCCGCAATTGTATGGGCCTCGTCGAGCTCCGTTTACGGGCTCAATTCCAAGGTGCCTTTCTCCGAAAAGGACCGAACCGATCAGCCCGCCAGCCTGTACGCCGCCACAAAAAAGGCCGGCGAAGAAATCGCCCACAGTTACAATCACATATACGGGCTCTCGATAACGGGCCTCCGTTTCTTCACGGTTTACGGGCCGTGGGGCCGGCCCGACATGGCCTACTATTTCTTCACTAAAGATATATTACGTGGCAAAGAAATCAAGATCTTCGAAGGGGCCGATCACGCCACCGTGGCTCGCGATTTCACCTACATCGACGACGTGGTGAAGGGTTGCTTGTCGGCTTTGGATACGGCGAAGAAGAGCACCGGAAGCGGCGGGAAGAAGGCGGGCCCGGCCCAATTGAGGGTTTACAATTTGGGAAATACCAGCCCTGTCCCTGTATCGAAGCTTGTGAGTATATTGGAGAAGTTGTTGAAAGTCAAGGCGAAGAAGAAGCTATTGCCGATGCCTCGGAATGGTGACGTCGTGTTCACACACGCGAACATTACTTTGGCTAGGAAGGAGCTCGGTTATAAGCCGACCACCGATTTAGAGACGGGGTTGAAGAAGTTTGTCAAGTGGTACATTAGTTACTACGGTTCGAAGAAGAAGAGCGCGTGGTGAAAGAAAAACGGTGAATTTTCTCTCGATTCTAGATGATGATATTCTACATTTTATTTTATTTTTTTGTTGTTTCGAAAATTGGGTGGTTTTTGAAATGTTTTGCGTTTTTCTCGCTATTCTCCGTATAGTCGTTGCGTTAACTATGAGAACTAGTGCAGCTCTGCATTTGGTTTAGATGATGATCTATGTGTTTGTGGACAGAGTAAATAATTTCTATTAATTGAATTTACCACATTTCGTTCGTCTTTTCGTCTTTGTAGGTAAAAGATTGTACATTGTTTAATAAATAGTATAGATGTGCTTCATTTGTTGACACTTCTTGACTATATATCTATGAGGTGTTAATAGACGAGCATTTCGCTCGAATGGTCCTTTTCTTCTATACATTATTTACAGTGTTGATTTTTTTTTTTTGAAGTTCGATACATCGTTGTGATGTAGGTATGGATTCTTGATTTATAACTATTCGGTGTTCCATTGAGAATCTTTTGCATCTTTGTTTGTTAGGTAAAACCAACTTAATAACTCTTTTACCAATCGAAATATAGGGATTTTTGTTCTTGTTTTGTAGGCCGGCCTTCGGAATTGTTCATCGGAAATTTTTGTAAGTATATTTATATGTATGTATGTATGTACTTTCGAAAGTTGTAGTTTGTTGTATTATCGTCCAATCGGCCGATTCGGTGACCGTTTTATTTTAATCTTGTGAGCCAATGGAACTTGTATTAGTGCAAAACAATGATATAGCTTTGCTCATGTTTCATTTGGGGTATTGGAAGTATTATTGTCAACTACTTCTAGGGTATTTCTTAGTTAAAAGGGCAAATTACGGCAGCCCCTAAGGTAAGGTCAAATTATGAAAAAAACCTTCATGTTTAGGTAATTACAAACACCTCATCAACTATGTATTGTCTTACAAATTCACTCTTACGGTGTTAAATTTTGTCAAATTTACCTAATGAATGAGAAGTTCTTTCATAAGACAATACATACTTGAGGAGATAGTTGTAATTACCCAAAGAGGAGGAGTTTTTTCGTAATTTGATCTTATCTTAGGGGGTTGGCTGTAATTTGCGTTAAAATGATGCACATTTGTACTAATCATAAATTGCATATTCACACACAATGGCTGTGTTTGGTAAGCTTTTGGGCTTCCATTTCCATTTTATTTTGGGGAAATATGTTTTGGGAGAAGAATTTGAAAATTAAATAAAGTTTGTTTGTATTTTGGGAGGAGATAATTTGTACTGTAGCAAGTCAAATCATGTCTGAAAGGTGTTGGAAAAAGGTATTTTAGAAGAAGAATTTAAAAGATAAAGTGATTTGATTTTGTATTTTAGTGAAGACAATTTTCACTGTAGCGGTCAAATCATGTTTGTTAGAGAGAGAAATATTTGAATTTGTTTTGGGGAAATTTTTTGAAAATAGTGTAGAAATATAATTTTCATTTTGGGGAAAGTGTGCAAAGTATTTGAAAACGGTAACAAACATAGCCAATGTTATTCCTAGGTGAAATTCTTGGATGAATGTGACATGTTTTTTTCATGTGCTAATTATTATTTATTTATTTGTTGGACTATATATTTATGTGCTACTTGTTTTCTTTTACATTATCTGTATTTTTAATTTAGATTTGGATTATTTAAATTTTATTGTAAATAGAATTATACATTAAATAGTTTTGACTTGTTCAAAATTTGAAGTTTGAACATTCAAAACCTGGAAATATTTAATGCGTAAGCCTAAATCTGAGGCTAGGGTCTAAATTGGAATTTCAATTAAGATGGGTTGAACAAAGTGAAATTGGTAACGTTGACTGAATCTGATATGAATGAGAAGTCGTTGAAAATTGTGATATATGTTTTAATTTTATTTTGAGAAAGAAGTGTTTAAATTTTAAAATGTTTTGTGAAAACAAATTCAAATATTCGTTTAGATATAATTTTCAAATTCCCTTTTTAGGTTAGACAACTAATTTCAATTTCCATTCAGAAAATACGAAAAATTGGATTTTCGAAAATGGTATTAAATCGAAATTGAAGAAATTTGAAAATATTCAATTTTTAGTCACTTATAATATAAAATACATAGAATATTATAAATATATTTTACGAAAATGGAATGGAAACTAAAATTGGACAGGAGATCGAAATCTAATTTGTATTTCAATTTTGTTATAGAAAGTTGGAAATCAAATTTTCTAAATGAGAAGTATAATACGCCAAATTGAGAAATATTCAAAACGAAATTGGTGGAATTCGAAAATTTCGTTTCGCTTTCTGTTTCCAACCCTAATTGAACCATTCTTTAAACTTATAAATATAATTTTATTATTACTTTAACATTTGTTAACTATAGTCTATAACTGCACGTCAAAGACCCGCACCGAGTGCGCCGATTGATGACCAATATCTTGTTTTATTATATGACATATTACTAAATAGAATAATGAATTGTCACATTTGTGAGCTAAGATAAATAATTTGTATATGATATGATGTAACGGTTCGTGCTTTTGGTCGGGAGTCGAACACGAGCTCAATTTATGTATACCATTGTCCTCGATGTGTGCTATGCTCATCAAGGGGTGAGCAAAAAAAATCGAAAAATCGAACCGAAAATCGACAAACGGAACCATTACGGTTTGTGCGATGCACAAACCATAGGTCTGGTTTTTCTTTTTAGGAAAAAAAAAAGACGAAAGTTTTGGTTCATATATGGCTTTCAAGAGCTTAATTCCACTTTGCACTATTGAAATATACTATTTTTCCCACTTTGCACCATCGAAATAAATTAATAGCACTTTGCACCATCGATACACGATATATCATGCATAATGCACTCCACGTGAGTTCTTAAAGCTAACAAAGGTAATTTAATATTTATAGTGATATTTAAAATTTACATTTTTTATCACAAAAAAAAATATTTTACGAAAAAAAATCCTTCAGCTATTTCTTGATCAAGTTATCTGAAAATCATATTTTCTTCCAAATATTTCTACCTAATATTTCCACCAATTACAATAAAATATCTATCAATTGAATAATTTAGTGACAAAAGTTTATTTGATTTTATTTTGTAAGAAAATATATATTTTTGCAATTATCCATTGTGATTTTTATTTTTTTGCACTTTGTGCGCTCGATATTAGGTAGGAGGTTGAAGAAAATGACAACATTAATTTGTTATTTTGCACACTGGAAAAAAAAAAAAAACCAATAAAAAATTATTTATCCTTTATCATTCAATTAAGGGTGCACTGTGAATAATTTATTGTATTTTGAGGGTGCAAAATACTATTATTATTTTTTAAGCGTGCAAAGTGCCAAAAAGGCTCCATTTCAAAGTTGCAAAGTGGGATTAAGCCAACTTTCAAGCATAAAACTGAACGGCGTGAATTGAACTGAACTGATAACTTTAAGAAATAGTTTCGTTTTGCACCATATATTACATGTAATAAAATGTTTATATAAGTTTTTCTTGCAATAAAATATCAAATTACCACACTTTAGTACTTCATATTATAAAGAAACGAACATTAGAAGATATAAAAACTCCCAACATCGATGGAATATTTCAAAATACGAAAAATGCTACCTTAGAAGATATCATACGTATGACATATCTACCAATCATGCTAAAATACATATTTTGTTTGCACACAATTATTAGGGAAAAATACCAAAATGTCCCAAATAAAAACTCTTGCATCAAAAAAGTCCCAAAAACTCGTGCAAAATAGGCTCGCGCGGGGCGAGCGGGACCCACGCCCAGGGCCCAATTTTAATATATATATATATATATATATATTTTGACAGAACAAATATGGATAATTAAATATTAAATGATACTACTCAATTTCAAAATTGGAGTTAAAGTTTAAATTTTTATATGAGATGGTAATTCTATACGCATGGTATCACAATAAAAGTTAAATGAATGGTCGATCTCAAAACCGACTCATTGTATTTTCAAAATATTCATCCATACATGAGCGGTTTAGTTGGAAATATAAATATTAAATGATTCATATCATTCAACAATGGAAATTTTCTATGAATTTTGCTAAACCTGCTTCTGTGCCTTTAGCTGCTCATTTCTTGTCAAGTAAGACTCAATCAGCTAAAACTGAATTTGAAATAAATCTATGCAATCTTTGCCTTACTAAAATGCAAGTGAATATGTGATGTATCTTATGGTTTGTATGAGGCCCGAGATATTGCTTATGCAATTAGTTATTTAAGTAGATATATTTTTAATCCCGGTATAGCCACGTTGGGAAGCGTTTAAATGGTTTTTTTTTTGTTAATTGAAAAGGTTCTTTGAACTTGTGATTTTATTTTTTAAATTTAGTAAGAGAGTGGAATTGATTGGATATATGAATTCTAATTATGCTAATGATAGAGATAATACGAAATCGACTATTTCATCATATGTTTTCACTTTGTGTGGCTCGTGTATTAGTTGAAAATCACAGTTGCAACATATAGTAGCTCTCTATTACGAAATCGGAATATATGCTACAACCGAAGCCTTAAAAGAAGCCAATTGGCGTAAAGTGCTTCAAATAGAAATTTATTTCTTTAAAGGTGAAGTAATTGTCTATTCGCACAACCAATTAGGTATTCAACTTTGTAAAAACCCGGTGTTTCACGATATAACTAAGCACATAAATATCAAGTTCCATTTTATTCATAACATGGTTGAAAAATGTTTAGTTAGACTTGAGAAGATTCCATCTGAATTTAACCGACATGGGTACTAAGTGCATGCCTCTTGAGAAATTCCGATATTGTTTAAAAGATTTTAGGGGCTCTTTGATATAACTCACTCAATACTTCTTTTAATAGGGAGAGATCCAAACTATTTTGCACCATTTGAGGAAAACTCCTTCCTAATTTCAGCTACCCATTTTTTCAATAATGCCAATGCCACCTCATCAACACTATCACCAATTATGCACCTGCCACTTCATCAGCCGTTTTTTTTTAAATTAATTTTTTTTCGTTTTTTAACTTTTTTTTTTCTCCATGGGGTATATTAATCGACTATGCGATATAAGCATAGTCGATTAAGAATCTGACTATTAAAAATAACAAATCACAATTACAAAATAATACAAATCAAATATATTTTACAAAAACAAAAATATACAAACATTATAATTGATTTATACAATTGGAATCAATAAAAAAAAAAAAGAAAAAAATTTGAAGTCGATTAACCTTAATAGACTACCATAGCATAGTCGATTAACTTAATCGACTATTGAAAACATACATAGTCGATTAAGGTTCCAGACTGCGCAAATTTCTCTACTCCGCCCGATCCACCAAAAAACTCTTACATCCCCATCGTCACTACACCGCCGCCATACCACACTTTGTCAACCATAGTGGGAGTTCGATCTCCCCGTCTCCCAGTTTGAAGAACTGGAATCCTCTATTAACGACTTTACTGAAGAACTCCATTAAAATATAACAAGCAGAAAAAAAAAAAAAAAAAAAAACCACAGAGAAGATAGAAGATGAAGAATCTGAAAATTCATACTTTGTTCCCAACAAACTGTAATCTTGTCAAAATCAATAGAAAATTCTGACAGATCTACTTACACTCATGATATATTGCATAAATTAATCCCAAAACAAATTGGGTGTTGTTTTTTTTTCTCTCTTAATTTCTTACGCCGATTTATTGTAAGGAAAAAAAAAGATATTAATGTGTATATGGCTTCAATCCCGTTGATGATATGCGTGAGGATCTTTTCCATTTGTACAGAGAAGAAGATGAGGAAAAATGAGGAGAGAGAGTACTGTAGAGAAGAAGAAGAAGATGATGAGGAAAAAGGAGAGAGAGAGAGAGTGTGGTGACGATTGGGATGTAGATTCAGACGGATATTGTTGATTTGTGGGGCCCACATGGTGTTCTATTAATAACCAGCCCAAAACCCAAACCCTCTCAACTCTGTCTCTCTCTCTCTTCGTGCCGAAAAGCTACGCGCCCCCTTCTGTGATTTAAACTCGGGCGTTGACTCTGGTAGTGCCGGTCGCCGCCGATTGGGTCTTGCCGTTGAACGGAGCCGGTGAATTCATAGTCTAGAGTTGTTCGATATTTGGTCTGTCGTCTGTCTCAGGGTTTGAATTTATTTATTTAGGCCCCGTTTGGCTGGCAAGATAAGATTAGCCAAGATAAGATTAAATAATCTAATGAGACCCAATTATTTTATTGGAGCTTGAAACGTCCAACAAAAAAACTCATTAGAAGGCAATATAAACCATGATTATATAATTTTGGCGGGTCGACCTGACAATTTATTGAGGATACCAAACATCAAATTAAGTCCAACTATTTAGTTAATCATGGCTTATCTTGGCAACCAAACGGGACCTTAATATTTCTTATAGTTGTTATGTAACCTGTATCTATACGCTCTCAATTCAATTCCAACTGATGTTTAGCAGAAACAAAAGAAGAAGAAAAATTGAAGTAATACAAACAAAAAAATGGCGGGAGGAGGAAGGAAGAATCTAAAGAGGGGGAGTTGAGTCTGAAATGGCGACTCTTGAACAAGGTCAAACCATAGTGCAGGTTGTCGAATTGAGGGGTTCTAATCTAACTGAGGTATTATACGGTTAAACCTCTATAAATTAATAAGTCGGGGCCAGAGAAATTTCATTAATTTAGCAAACGTTTTCTACCAAGTCGGGATAGAGAGAAACTATTATTTAATCGATGTTATTAATTTATCGAGGTTCTACTGCATATACTTATTTACTATTCAAAATTTCAAGGTTTATTATTTTTACTCTGTCAATTCGATTCGATTCAATTCTGTTTGCGAAGGTAATGGACTCGAAAGGGGAGAAATTTATAGCATGTTTTCCAGCAAAATTCCACAAAAGCATGTGGATTAAACAAGGTATGTAAAATTGCGCATATTGTTTAAACATAGCAATGAAATAATCTTATAGTTTTCGATTTGATTCTTATTCTTTTGTATAATGAAATGTTTAAATAGGGAACTTTGTAGTGGTGGACGAAAGTGGGAGAGAAGAGGCGGAAGAATCCGGTAGGAAGGTGGCGGGCTTTGTTCGACAAGTGCTTTACCACGACCAAATTCGTCTTCTTCGAAAATCTTTAGAATGGTTAATTTGTCAACTTATCGATTTTTATGGTTGATTTTGAACTTATCGATTTCTTCTATAAATTGACGTTTATTTTTGTTCCACTTAGGCCAGAGATTTTTAAATCCACCTCCCACGAAAACCCGAAGCAAGCTTTAGAGTGTTGTAGTACTTGCCGAAAAGATGATCAAGATTCTTCGAGTGACGACGATGGAATGCCGCCTTTGGAAGCAAATACGAATAGAGTAAATCCTCTCCACTTGTATGTAGAGTCCGAGTCTGATGATTGTTCTTAGTTCGTGAGCTTGTACCGGTATTTTAATTAAAAATTAAATTCTCTAACAAGCTTATTTAATTGTTAATCAGGCTACCAGCTAAAAAACGGACTGCAATATTAACAATTTGAAGTTCGCTTCAAGACATCATACCAACTGATTGCGTTATCGTACTATATCGATTCTCTATCAAACGGTATCAATGAACTATAATTAGCTCCAATGAGACGGGAAAAAAAACCCGATAAGGTTTACCTATATATAAATCCGTAGGTTTCATTAAGAGAAGTCGTTTATTGACTAAATTACCCTTCAGTTTTTCACTCCCGCGCTCTACAACCCTCAATTCAGCAACCAAATTGGACATTCCGACGTGCGCTGGTGGGACAACGACGACGGTTCTCCGATGCATTCAGAAAATTTAAGAATCTCAAGTTTTTTTCGGAATATGAAATATTATGATTTTTTTAATTAAACGCCGTTAAAATGGTACGTGTTAATTGACGACTTCATATAGCTTATTCCCAAACGAGACGACTTCGAGACTCAAACATTTCGTGAGGGCTTCTTTGGATTTCTGCAGAACTCATACAAAAAGGAATAGCAAATTACACTTTTACCTAGAAATCTGGCAAAATATATCCTAAATAATATAACCAATTTTACTATATATACCTGTATAGTAAAATTAGCTCTCTTTCGTTTGGATTGAGCTTGATCATTTGTATCTATTCTGTTTCTCTTAACATTTCTTTTGGGTTCCAGTGTATATATCTACAACACGATCTTCGTGATCTTCATTTGCATCAGAAGAATCGTCTGCTTTATCAGCCATCGCCTTTTTCTTGTTCAACTTTAGCATCTCGAACTCCGAGTCAGTCATGCGTGATCGTTTCTTCAAGAGTCTTGGCAAACTCTTGTTGAAGTGTTGATCGAGCATTTCCGAGAGCGTATATATATATCACAGGCACAATAATAAGACGATCGATGCAAATTCAACTACTCTATCACTGTATTTATGGGAGTTTCGCATCGTGAGAAATAAACTGTTCAGATTATCTCAGTATAGGATTATACGTGTACATACATTCAGATCATATATTTCTTCTCAACCATATACGGAGAAAACAAAACAGGGTACGTACGGTACGAAACTCATAAAAACGGACCGAGACCAAAATTTCTTGTATAACATAAGCTTTTAAACAAACATTTTGCATCAGATGCTAATCATTTCTCGAGTCATAGATAATAATCTCAATTAATCTCTTGTTATTATTATTATTATTAATTTTTCATTTTTATCTCATGGTATAAAGTTAATTTTGTTCACTCATCAGAAAAAAAAAAAAAAAAAAAAAAGAAGGAAAAAAAAAAATAGTTTGAAAAGGCTTGAATCAGTGGGTCCCACCACCACGTGGTTGCTCAATCATATTCTATTATTCATCATCTAATTCGTCAACCCCCATAGATCAACAGCTCACATCACAAATTACAATTTACATTCCCCAAATTTCTGAAAACCCCCAAATTCACAATTCCAATTCCAATTTCAGAATCCCAATTCCAATTCCCTGTAAATTCGAGAAACCTCGCTGCTAATTCTCCGATGCTGATGATGATTACGCACAAATAAAAAATATATATATATATATAGAGAGAGGCACCGTAAAAAATCAGAAATGAAAGGCGGCTTTTCGGCGCCCGGTGATTATGTCTATTTCAAGTCTCAAGTCCCTCTTCACAGAATCCCTGTGAGTTTTTTTTTTCTTTCTCTCCATTTCGTTTAATTGAATTTCTGGTTTTTATTTTTTGATTGTTCGTTGTGGTTTTTGAGTCTCGATTATCGTGTTTTTTTTTACTCTTTAAGCTACGTTTATTATCTATTGCGCACCCCCTGGTTTCAGTTTTGGATTCATGTTTTGATTGTTATACATTGCATTTTGGATTTCATTTCTTAGTAAATTTGAGATCTTGTACATTTACTGTTTTTTTTTTTTTTTTAAATAATTGAATATCTACATTTTTGCTTTTAAGTTCAATTGATGTGAATGATGGGTTCAACTGGATTGGTACAATGGGGAAGTTGAAATGAATTTTGTGTTGAGAATTATCACTATCAGAAAGGGGTTGTTATTACTATGTTCGATTTAAATTCTGCGAGGAGTTTTAATGTGGAATGTTTCGAAAGTATGATCAAGGGAAGCAAAGCATAATTTTCTGTGTGGATTTCTAATAAGTAAATGACATTTTTCGTAACAATTGTTGTAGATCGGATCAAAGCAGTGGCGATATTACGATTTTGGTCCAAAAGTTGTGCCCCCACTAATATGTCTTCCTGGTATAGCTGGAACTGCAGATGTTTACTACAAGCAAATCATGTCGCTTTCGATGAAGGTACGGATATTAATGATGTTATGGATCAGTTTACATTTTTTCCCTTTCGACGGATATTTACAGTTACTTGGTTGAGTTTTTGAATGTTAGGTTATGGTGGATGTTTGATTTAAGTTCTTTGTTATTCTTAAAAGGTGTGGTAAAGTCGGTTGACTTTGAAAAGGCACCGTATTTGTTCAAACCCTTAGGGATTTTGCCTCCTTGTAATAATTTTTGGTTGGAAGCAGAATATTGAACTGTAAAATCATAATTTTTGAGGTGATAGGAGTGCTATGTTTAAAGCTGTTTTCCAAAAAAAAAAAAAAAAAAAAAAAAAAGATGATTTTCTATCTCAGAATCTCCGTCATGTTTCAACACTGACCTTCAGTTCAGTTCTTTCCTTTCATAATTAACAAAGGACGATAAATGGATCTTGGTATCAAAGGTCACGAGCTTTGTGACAGTAATAACTATTTTTTTTTTCTTTTTTAAATCCCATTCGGTTTTATTAACACTTTCAGGGTTATCGTGTAATTTCTGTTGATATTCCACGCGTGTGGAATCAGCAAGAGTGGATTCAGGCATTTGAGAAGTTTTTGGATGCTATTGATGTTCATCATGTAAGATTTCCCTTTGACCGTTGCACTTCATGCTGGTATCCTTTGAATTTTGTGGTGCCCATTTTCTCTGTTCATTCTTTTTTATTTAATGGTCATGCTTATAATTTATTTAAAAATCTCTTTTATATCAAACATCGAACTAATAAGTTGTGCTGTGTGCAAATTAACTAACTGAAAATAGCCGTGTGCAAATAGTTGTGCTCTGTGAACTAATAACTTAACTAATGGAAAATGATGCAAATAACCAGTTACATTCATGAGGCGGTACTAGTTCAATGGATGTAAATTAGAGTTTGTAATGGCGAATATACCCCATATGAAAATAAAAAAATAAAAAAATAAATTTTCTGCGAAAGCAAAAGGACAACACTGCATGCTTTAACAACACAGAAAGACGAAAGCGTTGAAGGATAAAAAAACGGAAACTATGCCATTTTGTTACAATAGAAAATCATGGAAGTTGGAGTTCTCGTTTTTTTTTTCACATGTCAGGTGCATGTCCCTCGTCTATGAAAATTAAGCTTTTCCCTGGTTTAAATGCCTGATTCATGCATGCGATATCAGTTGTTTCTGATTATATTTGATCTAGTATTTACTATATATTGTAGCACAATCTTTGTAGATACGCCAATAGGCTGACAAATTTTCGATGATGATCTTTGTCACAGTGCTAAAAAAATGCATTTCTCTGTTATTAATCTTAAAATGAAAGTGGTATATATACAAAATTTGCAGATACATCTTTATGGTACATCACTTGGGGGCTTCTTAGCACAACTTTTTGCTCAGCATCGTCCACGACGAGTTAGATCTTTGGTACTTTCAAACACGTTTTTGGAGACGACTAGTTTCTCTGCAGCCATGCCATGGTCTCCCATGTATTTTCTCATCATCTTACCTTTTTTTTTTCTTTTTTTTAATATGTATATAGATATAATATTTCCCCCGACTCATCGTGGATCTACTGCTGAAGTTTTTCTCGAAGAGACTAATAATTGTAAATTTAGGGTAACAAAACAAACTTAAGTATGAAGGTAAATAATTAAGTTTTGAATTTACTAGTTAATATTGTTTGGTTCACACAGCACTAAACACATGACATGAGAACATTCGAAAATATTAACAAGTGCTGAAAAATAAAATGTATGTCCATAGCATATTTCTTCAACTAAAAGTATCGTTTTTCGTCTTGCTAAAACTTCCACCCTGTAATTCACTCTAGGTTATGTAATCCGCAGACAAATGGAGAATAAATTATACCGAGTTGTTGTCAGTACTGCCTTCTTGTTTGATACTAGTGAACCTACATTTGATAAAAAAAATCAATTAATCTTGATTTTGCATGTTTGATATTGTTTGTGGGTCGTAACACCTTTTTTTTTTTTTTTTTTTTTTAATCAGTATGGTTTTAATGGTTGATTATATGAAGTCAATTTTTTGACAGTGTAGGTTGGACACCCTCATTTCTACTCAAGCGTTATGTTCTAAGTGGAATTCGTGACGGTCCTCACGAACCTTTTATTGCAGATTCGGTGGACTTTGTTGTTGCTCAGGTAAAAAACTTCTAATCAACTCTTTTCTGACTTGTTATCTTGGCTTCTATTACTAATACTACTACTACTACAACTACTACTACTACAGTAATCATAACTTCAATAATGGGCATTTTCAATTATCAGGTTGAGACACTTTCGAAAGACGATTTAGCCTCTAGATTGAGTATAAGTGTTGATGCAGCATCCGTTGGACATCTTATGCTTTCAGATTCTTTGATTACTATAATCGATGTAAGTGTAGTCTTTTTTTAATATTACGAGTGCAGATGAGTAAATTTTTTTACATCACGTCACAAAGTGTTCTACGTCCCCTCAATCTATAACATGTTTCTTAATCAGGAAGTTTCCATCTTTACAAAATCTTAGACGACAACTGTTATGATATCCTTTAGCATTACACTAATAACGTTCTCATGGTTGTCCATTTGATCCCACATGCTCCATATAAAAATTAAAATATTCGTTTTTTGCTGATAAAATATTTCTTGTGTTGCAATTATTCTTGAATGAAGACGAATGATTACTGTGCAACTCCCCAAGAACTGAAAGATCAAGTAACTGAAAGATATCCTGGTGCCAGACAAGCGAGCCTCAAGTCTGGCGGTGATTTTCCTTTTCTTTCACGACCGGACGAAGTAAATCTTCATCTTCAGGTACACATTTTATGGTATTTTGTGGAATTTCACCCCTTTCAGCATCCGTTCCAATTTGTAGTAACTGATATGCTAAATGTCGTTTCAATTTTACCAATACCGTAAATCCAAGATTATGCATAACGTTCTCATCCAACCACCAATTTAGCGGCTTCAAGTTGGGCTAGCAAGCCAATTCAAAGGTCTACAACTTTGATGTTTTGGGCCAGCAAGTCAATTCGGACCGTAAGATCGTCAAAATCGCGTCTGAAAGTTGACTTTTTATGGGTTAGGGCAGTATTCATTCATTTATGCATAACTTTCTTATCTGACATCCAATCTAGTTGATTCAAGTTAGATTAGAAAGCCAACCCAACGATACAAATTTTGTGTTTCGACTTTTGTCAAATTCGGACTGAAAAATGGTCAAAATCACATTTGAAGTCAGAACTGTACCAGTAAATTTGAAACTACATTTGGTAAAATTGAAACGACATTTAGCACGTCCCTCCCTTATAGTAAATCTGCAAAAAACTAGTGTAACATTGACTTTGACTTGCATATAACAGCTACACCTAAGACGAGTTGGTGTTGAAGCCAGGCAAGACATGGTCCCTGGAATCCGAAAGGATGATTCCGGCGGAAGTTCAAGCGGCCAAAACGATAAACGAGGAAACACTGACGATGAAACTCCACAAGACGACAAAAAGGACTTTGGTGGTGGGCCCACAAATTCAAATGAACCACCTCTACTCCCGGAAGGTTCCGATTCGGATCATTTCGAAAACCAAACACTCGGCAAGTCTTATCTATCTTCTGATGACATCAGCGGCGAAAACATGGTACGTCTTATTATGCTGCCAGCTGTACTGGAGAATGGGATAGCTATGTTAGCTTGTGAAGCCGTTTTGAATGCTATGTGTGAGTACGCCTTTCTTAATTTGCTCCGTGTTTACTTAAGCACCTTGTGCGTTGTTAATTTGGACGTATAGTTTGAAATATTCAGGCACTCGATTGAGATGTATTATTTGTACATTATGGTATGTGAATTTTTTTTCTATTTCCTACAAGGAAATGATTCGT